TCCCTACACTGAATAAGCTTGTGCTCTTTGACCATGATGTGGTGGTGCAAAGGGATCTAACTAAGTTATGGAATGTTGATATGAAGGGGAAAGTAATTGGTGCAATTGAAACTTGTCATGAAGATGAATCTTCGTTTCGCCGAATAGATACGTTTGTCAACTTCTCGGATCCATTTGTTGCAAAGAATTTTGATATCAATGCATGCACATGGGCTTTTGGAATGAATTTGATTGATCTGCGACAGTGGAGGCGGAAAAATCTGACTTCTCTTTACCAGAAATACTTGCAATTGGTACAACATTTTTATACTTAAATACTTCTAGTTAAATATGTATTTTCTAAAGCAATCATAATCTCATGCTTGTTTTTTCCGGCTGTTTTGGTTGCAGGGTTCTGAGAGGCCCTTGTGGATGGCTGGGAGTTTGCCCTTAGGTTGGGTTACCTTCTACAACCAGACGGTGGCTTTGGACAGGCGATGGCATATCCTTGGGCTTGGTTATGACTCCGAAGTGGCTCGTGCCGACATCGAGAGAGCGGCAGTGATACACTACGATGGTATTATGAAACCGTGGTTGGATATTGCGATTGGAAGATACAAGGGTTATTGGAACAAATATGTCAAGTACGAGCACCCTTATTTGCAACAGTGCAATATCCATGAATAGTTGAATATCGCAGAAATAGCAGAGGAGTAAAAATCAATATATAACAGAAAAATTAGTTCTTTTCTTGCCTTAGGAACTGCACTTCACTTGTTCACTTAATTCTTTCTTCTGTGCGATTCTTCATGTAAAGTGGAACTCGTATTTTTTCCCCCAAAAAAATTTTCTGGGCATAATATTCTAGGAGCTGAGTCAAATTTTAGCAATAAATTGATACTAAAATAATTGTCCTTGCCAGGAATTTTGTAACATACTTTTAGGTTTCTTGTGTACATAACTCACTTCACTTGAGAATTAAACTGTTATCCAAAATTATTGAACTAGAACTTTATGGTCCGTTTATTTTACCGATGAGTTTAGAATTCGAATTTTGTTATAGTAAAAAACTCTAAAAAAATAGTCACATTTAACATATTTATTATAATAAAAAATTTTCACATAAAATCACATATCAATTTAAATTAAAAACTCGAATCAGCGAATTAAACGGACTTTTATTTTCTTTCCCTCCTTGCCAGGAATTTTGTAACATACTTTTAGGTTTCTTGTGTACATAACATTAAACTGTTATCCAAAATTATTGAACTAGAACTTTATGGTCCGTTTATTTTACCGATTTGAGTTTATAATTTGAGTTTTGTTATAGTAAAAAATTCTAAAAAAAGTCACATTTAACATATTTACTATAATAAAAAAATTTCACATAAAATCACATTTCAATTCAAATTAAAAACTCGAATCAGCGAATTAAACGGACTTTTATTTTCTTTCCTCTTGTCATTTCCGTGGAACAGCATTGTGGCAGTGATGGTTAAAACTTAAAGCAGTCAGTCGGGCACGGGATAATAGGATATGCTGTTCCAAATGGGTTTATGACTTGAAAAGATCTGCACCACCCGAGGGTGCATTTGGTAGTTAATTAAAATAAAAGTCATTTTCATGCAAATTGCAAATTTAACAAGCAAACTACCCCATTTCCATACAAATGGGGATGAAAATGAAAACGAAATGAAAATGGGAATTCTGAATGTTATTGAGCATCCGAGAACAACACAATTAGTAAAACGGATTATGTGACACGTGGAGAAATTTGGTTGGGTATTTGCAGATAGGGATATCAAACGAGGGGCTAACCTTCCTCCTATCCAGCTTGTGTGGTGCAACCTGGACAGATTTCCAACCAATCATATCAATTCGTAAAATCCCCACTTTGCATATGAAATAAGCTTTATACCCTCATAACTTCTGTTACAGAATCAACTTTCCCTCTTGCACAAAAACTTTCAGATTCTCCAAAAATCCATTTTCGTTCGCTTAGAAGAAAATGGCAAGCTTCACCGCTAGCGCTCCAACCTCTTCCATCGTCCGGGCGGCCCTTCTCCACAAGCCCTCCTTGGGGGCTCAATCCTCTCCTCTTCTTGGTAAGCCTTTTTTTTTTTTTTTTCAGATTCTTGTAATTGGAAGTACACGAAAAAGCTAGTTCAAAATTGCTTTTAGACATATAAGATTGGTGTTTAGGCTCAGTTTGAGATCGTTACGCGTTTGAATGATAAAAAAATAAAAATAAATAAAAATAAAGAACCTAGCTAGTAAGTGACTATAAGTGTATAAACATTAAACATATTACTAGCTTAGAATTGTGTGTAAAGTACTTTGAGAGCTTCAAAATTTTGCTTAATCTGCTGCCAGAACAAGTTAGATTCTAGCTGAAGATATCATTAATGAATTTTGTCAAAGCAATCTTGCAACACACTAACACTTCGTTCAGTTTGGCGATTCGAGCTAAGATGTGATTTTATATAAGAGTTTTTAACTGTAGTTAATAAAGTTAGATGTGCTATAATAAAATTGAAATTAAAAATTCAAATCGGTAAAATGAATAAGACATAATAATAATTATTTAAAAACTACAGCAACTCTAAACTCGCAACACCACTACAGTAGTTTTTCAAAAGCCACAACAATACCAAACTGAACATTAGATGGAATTGGTAATTTGATTCTTTTTTTTTTTTCCTTGTGAAATCCAGCATTGCCAGCCATGTCGAAGAGAGGAGGGAAAGTGAGGTGCTCAATGGAGGGAAAGTCTTCCGAGGAGGAGAGCAACTCGAAGATGGGGATGAGCGCATCGCTGATGGCAGCAGCGCTGGCGGCGACTATGTCTAGCCCCGCGGTGGCTCTGGTGGATGAGAGATTGAGCACAGAAGGCACTGGCCTGCCCTTCGGATTGAGCAACAACCTCCTTAGTTGGATCCTCCTTGGTGTGTTTGGTCTCGTTTGGGCTCTATACTTCGTTTACACTTCCACTCTTGAGGAGGACGAGGAATCAGGATTGTCCCTCTAAGCTTAGAGCATCTGTTCCTTTTGTGTTCAAGTCTTAAGAAATGTAAAAAAAAAATATTATGCAAATGAGGTTGGGATTCATGGTGATGATGTTGTTGTAGTAAAAGAAGTCTACTCTCTTCATATTTGTTTGTGTACCTATTTCCAACTGCTTTTGAGTCATTTCTCTCTCTGTTTTTTATATAGTTGCTTCTTTGATGACGCTATGAAGTTTCGAGATTTCAACAAAGATCCTACTCCTCTGATGAAAGGGAGGAAAAAAAAAATGAAAAAGAAAAGAGAAGAGGGGTATTTCAAAATATTAGAAGGGTATATTAATGGGCAAAATTAGTAGGCTTTTGTCTTTGATTTAAATTTGAGTATAAATCGTGTTGTGACGAATTTGATGCTATTAGTGTATAGTTTTAAAAGAAATGAAATCTAAACACCACAAATACTTAATTTTAGGAATCGTACGTCACATTCGCATTAGCCTCTTTTAATTCGCGAGGAAGAAACGTATTTATAGGATTGAGGGCAATGCGGCAAAAAAAGGTTGTAAAACAAATTATGTACTTTTTTCACTTTACAATTTTTTCGAGAATTTTGATTTATTTGTTTTCGCATGTTAGTATATGACATAATTTTAATAAAGAACAAAATATCTATTGCGTGATATTCGCATGTAATAGGTTCAACTAAACAACGAAAGCATTCTTATAAAAAAAAATAAAAAATTATGAACCATACAACAATGAAATAAAAAAATTGTTAAAATTAACCTCTAGTCCTCTAATAAACTACATAGTTCTCTCTTCTCGTGTCTTTTCAGTTGAGATTTTAATGACCAAATAGATAGGAGGACTAATTTGAGGCAATTTATAATTCAAGAACCAGTTCTGAGATTTTTAAAAGCTTAAGGACTAAAAAGATATTTGATTATAGTTCAGGGGTTATAGATGGAAAGGGCTAATTAACCTTTTTTTCTCTCATTTATCTCATTTTCCCTGCCGTCATTCCCACTCGACAGCTACGCCGTCGCCCATCAGTCCACCACCAAATCACCGCCGACTTGCCGAGTTCTTTCAGCAGGTAATCCAATTTCGTGCTCTTCAGTTCTTGCAACTTTGGGCATTACTCTTGGTGAAATCGGTTATGCTACTATTAAGTCCAGGGAAATTCGCATTTGTTTGTTGTTTTTACGGTTATATTGTGAGTGAATTGGTTAAGGCTAACTCAGAAACGCAACAACAAAGGTTCCCATTACATTTACAGCAGCAGCAGCAAATCTTCTTCTTCGATTTCGCTTCTCTCGTCTAAGAATCTGTTAAAGTTCTCGTCTTTGATCTCGTTCACGCCCTAATTCGCACAAAGGAAGTCGGAGGAATCGAGGGTAGAGTTCTGCATATAACAAATTCTCTCTCTCTCTCGGATTTTATTGAAACTTTCGATATGTTTGTTTGGAAAATCTAACAAATTCTCTCTTTTTAGGTGTATTATGTAACGTTAATTCTTCCATATATGAATCCTTTGTAACCGTTTTCTTATAACCTTCGTGGTGGTTTTTCTGTCTGTCTAATCAATTTTGTCTTCTCTTCTGCCGGCCTATAGAAAATATATATTCGATTTTGCCTTTCAATCCTTTACTTTATCTTCAAAGTTGTGTTCAACTCTTGTTTAGTGCTGAGTGATATCTCCGATCTCCCTTGATTGGAAGTGATTCTGTACGGTTCTAACGCAGCATTGCCTTTAATGACTAATTGGATCCTCTCGGTTTGAGTCTCATCTCATGGATTTAACAAGTATTTTTTATCATCGCTTGTTCATATTTTGCTTTATTTTAAGAATTTTTTTTTTTTTGGGGTAATTCAATTAGAGTGTGGTACTACTTTGCATAATTTGATTGTTTTAGTATGATGTATTGATTATCTTCCCGTTACTTTAGAAAGTAGTGAAGTTCTACAATTTCTTTTATGTTTTCCTGACTAATTTATGTCGTATGATGTATTGATTATCTTCCCACTACTTTAGAAAGTACTGCAGTTCTACAATTTCTTGTATGTTTTCTTGACTAGTTTATGTCTATAGTATAATAGTATAGTTAATGAATATGTTATAGATGAAGTGTTTGTATTAAGCACTATGTGAATGGTTTTTTATGATTTGTATAGATTAGGATTATTTTCCTTTTTCTTTGTTTGGTAACTAGATTTGGTTGGAGCTTCTTCTGTAATCCATATGTATTCCACTATATGGCATTTTTTTCTTGAAATATTTTTGAGTTAATCCTTGTTTTTCTGGGTTTTTCTTCAGTTAGTTTCTGCACTTGTTGCATTATGCCAAGGTTTTATGCTTGTTCCTTTACTAATTGATTTTTCCAATTGACTCGCATTCTGTTACACATGTTGTTTTCTATCTATATGTAATAACTTATGCCATTGTCTTGTACCATAGTTATACTTTACTCTTAGATTTTCGCTCTCTGTTTTGTTACAACTGATATTATTCTCGTACATCACAATTTTCTTTCGTCAGTGTAATATTCTCTCCTCTTGAGTTTCGCTAGTCTCTTCATGTAAGAGTTTAAATAGTCTCCCTTATAGGTGTTGCAATAGTTCTTTTCTTAAAGTTTTACTCATATTATCTAGTTATCATGATGACAACTTCTTATCATTATATTTAATTCTTATCATTAAATAACAGAAAAGTTAATGATTTTCTAAATGCTACATTTCTTAACTTTCCTCATAAGTCCTTTAGAAAAAAAAAAAAAAAAACCCTCATGAGTTACTCTTTCTCATCTTCATAATTCTTTAGAAGATATATTTTAATCTACTTTTAATGTTAAATCTTATTACTATTATCCTGATTGCATATGTCTGCTAATATTCAAAACTTTCCCTCTGTTTCATTCTCAAACATTTTCAAAAATTTCCCCCTTATTAGGATAATTGCATTTCATCAGTTACTTTTATATTTTAAAAGTCAATAACTGCTCTTATATCTTATCACAACTAGTCTTATTTTTATTATTGGTTTTTAGTGGTTTTGATTCCCTAAAAGTGTTTTACTTTGCTATGTATTAAAAAGAGGCTGGTAAGGAAGGTCTTCTTTGTTACTCCCTCTTACATAAATAAAAAATATATAAATATAAGTATAAAGTAAATAAAAAATTAAAATCAACCTTGGTTGAATACTACAATCCTCTACATACGCTGGTAATTTAACTGCGGTTTAACATTCAACTTTGGTTGAATATAAATCCTGATATCCTTATTAACATCTTGCTTAACTCATATTCTAAAGTCATCGTAATCCTATCTCAATATAAGATAAGTTCATTCCTCTTGTTTTCTTATAATTTCAATAATCTAGATTTTTTTATACTTTTTCATATATTTATATACTTTGCAGGTTCGAAATAGTATCTTCAACAACCTCTTGATCTTATCATATTTATGTCTTTATTCTTCTTCCAAGAAGTTAAATAAATCTTATGTGTTGTTTTCCTAACATCACATGATTTATTCGTACTTGCTCTCTGGATAGAAAACATTATTTGGTTGGATTTCTTTCCACCATGCATTGTATCTTTTGATACTTTCTTTCTTCTCAAGAAAAAAAAATCGTGCTTTATTAGTTGTCTTGTACTGTTTTCTGATTTTTTTTTAAATTTTTTTTTGGGCTTTCGCCAATGGAGCAGAAGTAGCTTCTGGATTGGTTTGAGTCTGAAATAAAATGTTCTACCTTAGCCGAATTGAGCACACCTTGCGAGTGCCTCCTGACATCCTGAGCCGACCCTTAACCGAAGCTATTAAGGTTGAACTTGAAAAGCTTTTCTTAGACAAGGTTTGTATTGCTTCTCATTCACAATTAAATTTTTTATCTTCATGACTTATGCTTGGAAATCTGCAAATAGTGCGAATAATGTTTCAATGAAGGTTATTGCAAACTTGGGGCTTTGCATTTCTGTCTATGATATTATATCTATTGAAGGCGGCTTTATCTTTCCCGGTGATGGTGCTGCAACTTATACGGTATAGTCGAAGTGTTGAACAATAATATGTATCATCTCTAAATTGTTTCCTAATTTTATAGCTTTCTTGCTCTTATGAGCACTTTCTCCAATATTATATGTAGTAAGACAATTTGTTCATCGTGTTTTCATTTTTGGCAGGCGGTGTTCACGATGATTATGTTCCGTCCGTTTGTGGGTGAGATTATTTCAGCAAAAGTAAAAGAATCCGATGCTAATGGCTTACGCCGTATGTCTGATAGATGCTTGTCTTTTATGGTTATACTTCAGTACTATCAAGTGTGTCTGATAAGTCATTATGCGTGCTAATGTTGAATCTATAATTGGCAGTCACACTTGGATTTTTTGAGGACATTTACATTCCTGCCAATTTTTTGCCTGATCCTTCCCGTCCTGAGCCAGATCCAAGAAAGAGGTATTATAGTCCTGCCTTGTCTGTTCCAATAGAAATGTGTGTAGATTTTCCGATGCATCATCAGATCCTGGTTAAAGTTTTCTTCTTTGGCCAAGTTATCTGATATGTATGTTGATATTCTGGTGTATTCTTCTTGAGGATTGCAGGGACAGAGTTACCTGGATATGGGAATTTGGGGAACAAAAGTACGTTATTGATGGCGAGGATGAGGTTCAATATTCTTATGCTTTGTCATCATAGGTATTACTAAAATTTCTGAAAGTCTACTTAGTAGCGTAACTTTTATTCTTTGAACGGCAGATAAGGTTCCAAGTTCACAGTGTAAATTATCCTCCAATTCCGGTTGAACAGCCAAAAGAGTCAAAGCCATTTGCTCCCATGGTTATTACTGTAAGTTCATCCTTGAACTTTTAACATTCAAATTTTGTGTCTCTTCTTGTTGTTACACTAATTGGTGTCTTCTTTTCTTCAAGAGCTCCAAAAAACGATAAAGATTAGCTTACTGTTTTCTCTCTTCCGTTTCTCGTTTTCCCTTTTTCGTATAAAACTGAGTAGTCTCTTCTGACACTTTATCTGGAAAAGTCCTGTGTTTATGTGAATTTCATTTGTAACCCTCTAAAGCTTATTTTGTTTCTTTTCCTTTTTGCAAAAAGTTTTTGCCTCTTTTTTTTTCCTTTTCCTGTATTCTAGTTGGTTGGCGATATTGAAAGTATGCACTGTGACCCAAGACACTGCTCTTTAACTTGATGAGCAGAATAATGATATCATTATACACTTTGGCCCCATTTGGATAGGACAACATTGGATAGGACAGTTTTAGGGTAATGAATTGGAATGTATAGAAAAAGATAGGATTAAATTTTAGTTTAATCTAATCCCATGTTTGGTATTGTGTTATTAGGATAAGGGCGTGTTTGGAAAAAAGGAAAAAAAATTAAAATTTGGGATCAAATTGTAATTTTTCAAAACGTGAGGGGCAAAAATATAAATTTTTTAAATGTTTACTCATATGAAAATAACATTTTTGACCCCTCAATATTAGGTCTTTAATGTTTTTCACTACGTGCTCTAGTTAAAAGTTATCTCATGCTAGCACCATTCCCTTCTAAGAGGATTTGAGTATGGGCTGGACGAAAGTTTATCCAATCCAATCCTTTAAAATTGTTCACCAAACACAATATTAAAATTTAATCATATCCACTCATCCTTAATCTTGCACACTAAACAGACCCAAATTTGTTTTCTCACACTAATTGAATCGCCTAAACTGTAAGGAGTCTGATATTTTGTTTTTCATCTTGCAGGGATCACTTGATTGTGATGGTTTGGGCCCTGTTTCATGGTGGGATGGCGCAGATGAGTCTGAAGAATAGGAGAAAGCTTGAGCTTTGAAAGGAAAAATAAAATAAAAAAATTGACACAATTTGTGGTTTTAACTTTCATACTGTAATATAATACTAGATAAAAGGGGAACAATTGAATTATTTAAAGCTAACAGAAATTATGACATGGTTTCCTTAGTCCTTAATTGCCCTCCCGTTTTGATTGATCTGCACTGATAGTTTGGGATGGCTATAGCCATAGGCTGAAACTGTGAATTCCCAAGATCTTAAAAGATTGTAAATGCTTTCATGTCATGTCTGTTTAACCATGATTTTAAGTTGAAATTTATTTCCTTCTATCTCTGCCTTGAAATTTTTTGCTATATCATTTTTCCAGTTTATTTTCTTCACTTTAGAGAAAAGTGAATATGCGAAGTCTCCAATACTAAAAAACGCATCACTAAAAAGAAAAAGGCCTGTTAAAAATGTGAACGAAAAAGGACTCAAAAAACTATTAAAAATAAAAAAGTGTTTAAATGGTGCGCACAACAGTTGTGCTGTGGCAATGCGTAAGCGTTGAACGGGTACCAAGTTTAAAGGCGGCTGTAGAATCTTCTTCGACAGAAAAATCTCAACCGTTCACTCTCTGTCTGGGTCCCACCCAACATCAATGAACGGTGATCCGAGCATCTCTCCACACGGCAAAAGGTATATCTATCGCTTCCCGTTTCTCGGGGCGTTATATAAGAAAAGCAAATTCACTCTGAAAAACTCAAAATTACAACAAAAATGGTGAGCTCTCTCGCCGCGCCAAAGCTCACCACGACCTTCTCTTCCTCCACGACCCTCCTCTTCTCCAAGAACCTCCCTCTCTCTCTCTCTAACCCCTTTCTCTCTCTTCCTCTAAACCTAACTTCTTCCGTCACTCATCTCCACTGCCGCTCCCTCTCCTTCTGCCACCGCCACCGGCGCGGCTTCGTCGCGGCCTCCGCCGAGCCGGATAACGGCGCAGATTCCGCTCGTAAGTACGATTTTGACCTCTTCACCATCGGCGCCGGCAGCGGCGGCGTCCGGGCTGCCCGCTTTGCCGCCAATTTCGGCGCCTCCGTCGCCGTCTGCGAGCTTCCGTTCTCTACTATCTCCTCCGAGACCGGCGGTGGCGTCGGCGGAACGTAAGTTTTTATTTATTATCATTTTAATTTTACGGAAAAGTTCGTTTCTTTTTACTCTGCATTACTTGGAGCTCTTTTGGCCAATACTATTGGTGTGTCACAATTGAGATTTTCTAAATTAATGGGCTTTGGATATTACTGGAATGATGGTTGGTTATGTTCATTTTAGCATGTGTAAAGGTGATAAGTGCTTGCCTGACCCATACTTTTGAAAACTTTATATTAATTTGAATGTTGGGAAGTTGAATTTGTTTGAACTTACAAGGCTTATGTTGATGAAATAATATGATGGTTTTCTTCTCTTGGAAACCTCAACGCAAAGATTAGTTGGAATCAGTTTAGTTATGGCGTAGAGAGAGTAGTAGTGGCCAAGCAAGTTTACTGAATTTTATGGGTATTGTTATTGATCTTTTCAAATTTCAGGTGTGTCCTTCGTGGATGTGTGCCAAAGAAGTTACTTGTTTACGCTTCAAAATACTCCCATGAATTTGACGAGAGCCATGGTTTTGGGTGGAAATACGATAGTGAACCAAAGAATGACTGGAGCACCTTGATAGCTAACAAGAACGCAGAGTTGCAGCGCCTGACTGGTATTTACAAGAACATTTTGAAGAATGCCGGTGTATCTTTAATTGAAGGTCGTGGAAAGGTAGTAGTTAGAATAATGCTTTCTGCCTTTGGATTTTGATTAAAAGTAACTTGTTGTTGTTGTCGTCTTCATGTTCTGTGTTTTTCATATTAGTTTTGATGTTCTTGCATTGCAATAACGCAGATAGTTGACCCGCACACAGTTGATGTCGATGGGAAGCTATATTCTGCGAGAAATATACTAATTTCAGTTGGGGGCCGACCCTTCATTCCTGATATACCTGGCAGTGAGTATGCAATAGATTCAGATGCTGCCCTCGATTTGCCCTCAAAACCTGAGAAGATAGCAATTATTGGCGGTGGATACATTGCCTTGGAATTTGCTGGCATCTTCAGTGGTTTGACAAGTGAAGTTCATGTGTTTATACGCCAGAAGAAAGTTTTGAGGGGCTTTGATGAAGAGGTGGGGGAGCCATGGAAAGATGTACTTTTTCTTCTTGCATTATGAAGACAAATTGTTTTAATCGACATTTAGATTTGTTGTTCTGATCCTGCAGATCAGAGATTTCGTTGCGGAACAAATGTCTGTTAGAGGAATTGAGTTCCACACAGAGGAGTCTCCCCAGGCTATCATTAAAGTTGCCGATGGATCATTGTCTTTAAAAACCAACAGGGGAACAGTTGATGGTTTTTCACACATTATGTTTGCTACAGGACGCCGGCCCAATACAAAGGTTTGGAGTTTTATCTCGTACTAGCCAATCAGATGTTTGTGAATGGGCGTCTTCAGGTTTATGGGACTGCATGTTAAGAAATGCCATTCAAGGCATGGTTTAGAGTAGCATGCCTGAAGATGCCAGTTTGTGGAGTACTAAGATCTTTCATAGCTCCTATAAGTTAGCGACAGGTATATTCTATTTGCAAGTAATTTGAGCTTCTAATTCGTTGCAGAACCTAGGATTGGAGGCAATGGGGGTAAAGTTAAACAAGAATGGAGCAATAGAGGTAGTGTTTTTGTAACATGCTGTTTTTCTTCTTACCTTTCTTAACCTTTCTTTTTTCCTTTTGAGGGGGTAAATTGACCAGGAGTAAGCAGAGGATATAGTTATTTTTCGTATCTTGTTTGATTTTCTAACGAGTATATATGATGCCTATTCAACTACGCAGCTGTTAATACTTTTTCCCTCAATGGTTTTCTCAGGTCGATGAATACTCTCGCACCTCGGTTCCTTCCATTTGGGCAGTAGGAGATGTTACAGATAGAGTGAATCTCACTCCAGTTGCTTTAATGGAAGGAGGTGCATTAGCAAAAACAATATTTCATAATGAGCCAACAAAACCTGATTACAGGTATCCTACATAGTTCTGATTTATCTTTGTATAATATTGTGTTTTTATGAGCCAGTATTCGTTCTGTATGTTCCCTTTGGAATCAATACATATGTAATTTGCATTTTGTAAGTTGCATGCTTTCCAATTGTTAGTACTTAGTTGACGTTTTACCATACTTTGTGGGAAAAAGTAATACATGCTGTCAGTTTTTGTTTCTAACGAGAAAGGTTGGGCTTGTTTGGAATTTCAAATCTGATTATTAGTTGTTTTGTCTAGAGCTATTCCCTCTGCTGTCTTTTCACAGCCGCCGATTGGACAAGTTGGTCTTAGTGAAGAACAGGTAAGGCAATTATGGATTACTACAACTCTCAATTCGGCATCGGTTTTAAATTTGCAATTATCTTTGCAGGCTGTAGAACAATATGGTGATGTTGACATTTTCACAGCAAACTTCCGGCCCTTGAAGGCTACTCTGTCAGGGCTTCCAGATCGGGTTTTTATGAAACTTGTAGTCTGTGCAAAGACAAATAAAGTTGTGGGTTTGCATATGTGTGGAGAAGATTCACCAGAAATTGTGCAGGTTAATGATTTGCTATTAATATTCTTTTGTGCGTTTTCCTTCTTCAATAGTACAGATACAATTTTCACCCTTGTGATTATAAAACCGTTCGAAATTCCAGGGGTTTGCAGTTGCTGTGAAAGCTGGCTTGACCAAGGCCGACTTCGACGCCACTGTGGGTATTCACCCTACAGCTGCTGAAGAGTTCGTCACAATGAGGACTCCTACTAGGAAGATTCGAAGCAGTCCCGAGGTTTGTCAGGCACACAACCTATTTTTCTTGTCATCTTGTAACAACGTTTACTCTTTGCGAAGCCAACTCTCCAACGTTGTTGGCTCATTGACATCTTTTCTAAACTAGTGGCTCTCAACTCTTCAAGTTTCTGATGTCAACTGCAATATTATTGTGTTTTTTCATTGATTTCAAGGAAGTAATTACCATACGCTTTGTCTATAACTTGACAAGCTTAATCTGTGGATTTTTTTTTTCACCATCTTTCCCTTTTTATGTGAATTTGCACTAGGGAA